AATTTTAAACAATATCCTAGGAAAAGAAAATGAAGATCACAACCCCAGGAAGTCCAGCAGAATGAATCCATCCGGCACGACCAAAAATTATAAAACGCAAAGGGTGAGAATCAAAAAAAAGAAAAAGTCATGACAAGGATAAGTCAGGACAGAGGATTTAGCTCAGTGGTTTCGCTGCCTGCTGTGCAAGCGCAAGGACCTGAGTTCGATCCCTAGTACCAAAAAAAAAAAAAAAGGATAAGTCAATACATATCAGTTATAACCATCAATATTAATGGTCTCAATTCACCAATAAAAAGAAAGACTGGCAGAATGGGTCAAGAAGCAAGATCCAACAATATGCTGCATACAAGAAAAACACTTAATTCAAAAAGAAACTCACAGACTGAAAGTTAAAGGGTGGAAAACAATACTCCATGTGACAGGAACCAAAAAAAAAGCAGAAGTAGCTATCCTATTTGCAGATAAATTGGATTTCAAACCAACACTAATTGAGAGGGACAAAGAAGGACACCACATCCTTGTAAAGGGCACAATCCAAGGGGAAGAGATGACTAATCAATGTGAAAAATCAAATAAGCACTAATACAATAGTAGGGGGGGAGAACTTCAATACCCACTGTCACAAATAGATCAACTAGACAGAAAATAAACAATAAAATACTAGAACTCAATCAAACTCTTGAACAAATGAACTTAACAGATGTTTGTAGAGGGTTCGACCCCACAAAATCAGAATACACATTCTTTTCAGCTGCACATGGGTCGTTCTCTAAAATAGACCACATACTTGCTCATAGAACATGTTTAAGTAAGTGCAAAGGAACTGAAGTTATCTCCTGTATATTATCAGATCACAGAGCAATGAAATTGGAGATCAATAGCAAAAGAAATTGCAAGAATTTCATCAACACATGGAAATTTTTTTTAACACATGGAAATTAAACAACACACTTCTAAATAACCAGTGGGTCACAGAGGAAATTAAAGAAGAAATCAGACAGTTTCTATAATTAAACGACAATGGCAATACAACAAACCAGAATATCTGAAACACAAAAACCAGTTTAACAAGTGAAATTCATAGCAGTGAATACTCATACTAGGAAAACAGAGCGAGCTCAAATAAACAACCTGATGCTGAACCTCTAGAAACTTCCAGAAAAAGAAGGGCAGGACAAACTCAAAACTCATACAAGGGAGGAAATTATAAAGATCAGAGTGGAAATCAATGCAATGGAGACTAAGAGAATGATACAAAAAATTAATGAAGTAAAGAGTTGGTTCTTTGAAAGAATAAGCAAAATTGACAAAACTTTAGCCAGCCTTATCCAAAAAAAAGGAAAGAGAAGACCCAAATCCATGCAATTAGGCATGAAAGGGGTGAAATTAGAACAGACCCAACAGAAATCCAGAGGATCATATTTACCTACTTTGCGAACCTATATATCAGTAAGATGGAAAATACAGAAAAAATGGACAGATTTCTAGATATTTATGAATTACCAAAGTTGAACGAAGAAGACCTAAAAATCCTAAACAACCCAGTATCAAATCATGAAACTGAAAACATAATTAAAAACATACCAATGAAGACAATCCTGGGTCCTAATGGCTTCACTGCTGAAATCTACAAGACATTTAGAGAATTACTGCCACTACTGTTTGAACTCTTCAGTGAAATTGAAAGAGAAGTAATACTCCCAAATTCATTCCTGGAAGCAAGCATCACCTTGATCCCAAAAGCAGAGAAAGACCCAAGCGAAAAAGAGAATTACAGGCCAATCTCACTAATGAACACAGATATAAAAATCCTTAATATGAGACTGGCAAATAGAATGCAGAAGATCATTAAGAAAATCATACACCCTGACCAAATGGCATTCATTCCAGGGATGCAGGGATGGTTCAACATATACAAATCAATAAATGTAATACACTATATTAATACAGCCAAGGACAAAAACCATGTGATCATCTCAATAGATGCAGAAAAAGTGTTCGACAAAATCCAACACGCACTCATGATAAAAACCCTACAAAAAATTGAAATAGACGGTCACTACCTCAACTTGATAAAAAGTCATCTATGAAAAACCAACAGCCAATATCATACAAAAGGGTCAAAAACTGAAATCCTTCACACTAAAATCAGAAACAAGACAAGGATCTCCATTATCACCACTCCTGTTCAATATAGTTTTGGAAACATTAGCCACAGCAATCAGACAAGAGAAAGAAATAAAAGGAATAAAGATAGGAAATGAAGAAGTCAAATTGTCATTATTTGCAGATGACATGATACTCCATAGAGAAGACCCCAAGAACTCCACCAAAAGTCTTCTAGACTTAATAACCAAATTCAGTAGAGTAGCTGGATACAAGGTCAACACACAAAAATCAATAGCTTTCCTGTACGGAACAACAGACTCACTGAGAGAGGAATAGGAGAAACAACTCCCTTCACTATGTCTAAATGAAATACCTAGGAATCAACCTAACGAAAGAAATCAAAGGGGCCGGGGGGTTAAATGGTTCGGGTGCCTGCCGCGCAAGCGCAAGGTCCCAAGTTCGATCCCTGGTACCAAAAAAAAAAAAAGAAAGAAAGAAAAAATAATGAAAGAAATCAAAGATCTCTACTCTGAAAAGCACAGAAGTCTGAAAAAAGAGATCAAAGAGGATATCAGAAAATGGAAAGACACCCTTTTCTCCTGTGTAGGAAGAACCAATATAGTGAAAATGGCCACACTTCCAAAACTGCTATATAGATTCAATGCCATCCCAACTGATATTCCAACAGCATATGTCACAGAGCCTGAGAAAACAATCTAAAAATTCATTTAGAAAAAAAAAATTCATATGGAGCCAGAGGCAACAAAGACAAGGTAGGGGCATCACAATCCAGAACCTGAAACTACTTTGATACAAAGCTACTTTGATAAAAACAGCATGGTACTGGCAAACAAACAGACCCAAGGAGCAGTGGAACAGATTAGAAGACACAAAAAGAACTCCAGACACACTCAGCCCCCTCATCTTTGACAAAGGAGTCAAATACCCTCAATGGAGGAAAGATAGTCTCTTTAATAAATGGTGCTGGAAAAATTGGGTTTCAACTTGCCGAAGATTAAAACTAGACCTATGTCTCTCACAATGAACTAAAGTAAAATCGAAATGGACTAAAGATCTAAATACTAAAACAGAAACACTAAACTGGCTGGAAGAGAGGTTAAGTAGAACTCTTGGAGACACTGTCATAGGAAAAGATTTCATGAACAAAACCTGTTACACTTGAACTAGCACAAAGAATCAACAAGTGGGATTTCTTCTTATTAAAAAGCTTCTGTACAGCAAGAGAAACCAGCAACAGTGTGAAAAGACAACCCACAACATGGGATAAAATTTTTACCAGCTGTTCCTCAGACAAATGTCTTCTATCTAGAATATATAAAGAACTTTAAAAAATCAAACCTCCCAAATTTAAAGACCCAATTCAAAAATGGGCATCTGAAATGAACAGACATTTCTCAGACAAGTAAAAGCAGCAAATAAACATATGAAAAAATGTTCAACATTACTCATCATTTGAGAGATGCAAATGAAAACAAAGCTGAGATTCTACCTCATCCCAGAAAGAATGGCTGCTATCATGAAATCAACCAATAACAAATGCTAGAGGGACCGTGGGGAGAAAGGAACCCTTCTCCACTGTTGGTGGGAGTGCAGACTGGTGCAACCACGGTGGAAATCAGAAAGGAGACACCTCAAAAAAATAGGGTTAGAGGTCCCATTTGATCTAGCTATTCCCCTGCTGGGTATCTTCCCAAAAGAATTAAAAGAATCATACCACAGTGATGTATGTGCGCCCATGTTCATAGCAGCACAGTTTGTAATAGCTAAAACTTGGAAACAGCCCAGCTGCCCATCAACTGGAGACTGGATAAAGAAGGTGTGGGGTTTTTAAAAAAATAAAATGGAGTACTACTCAGCCATAAAGAAAGAGAAATTAGACATTTATAGATAAATGAATGCACAGAGGCCATACTCTTAAGTGAAATAAATAGGATACACATGTGTAAATACCAAATAGTTTTTCTGGTGTGAGAAACTGAAAGTGTAAATAAGGATCAAAATGTATAATAGATAATGTGAAATAGCAAGGAAAAGTGCAGTTGGGAAAGGGAAGTGGGAATGGTAGGGAAAGGAAAGAAGGGAATGGAATTAACATGAGAAAATGAAAAAATGGGAGGAAAGTCTTTGTAAACAGGGAGGGGTTGAAGGGAGGGGAGGGGAATGGGGAAAAAATAAGAATCAAGATATATTATGTAAAAGTACAAATCTCCAATGATGAATGTCATCATTTGTATATCTAAAATGTACCAATAAAATTAATTTAAAACAATCTAAGATCCTACAAACAAGATGGATTAAACTGAGTTAAATATTTAACTCCTATTACCCATGTTACGACTACTTTACATAATACTTTATGTTTTCTTTTATGATAAAACAAACAGAAAAAAAAGACTCCAATTAGATAAAAAAGAAGAGTGTATTATATTTCCAAGCCAGTTCCATTTGGAGACCAAAGAAGCACACTGTTTCTTGTTTTAAAATAAACCAAACTGTTGAAATATTAATTAAGGCCAAAGTATGTTGAAGAGGCATGACAAGAACCAGTAATACTAGGTAGCAATTATACTCTGGTAGTGCATACTTTGTGCCATATCCTATTTAGATGGATGAGCTCATTTGCTCCTCACAGAAATCTTGTGAATTAGACAATATTATTTCTATTTAATTGAGGCAGAAATTAGGGTACAGAGAGCTTATGTCACTCAGCAGGACAATCAATGAGTAAGCTGCAAAGTCATAATTTGAACCCAGACAGACACACTCTAAGCCCATATTCTTATTTCTATAAAGAAGAAAGCATATGACTCACAAAGAAACAAAACAAAACAATCCCCCCTCAAACCAATCTAACAATGCTTGCTCACCTTGAAGACCTGCGTATTTAAGGGATGACCAGTTTGGTATGTTATAACAACCTCCCCCATCTTCTTGTTCTTCTGATTCACATCGGTAAAGTATTTGATTTAGCTCAGCCAAAGTTAATTGAGAGGCAATACTAAGAATTAGAGAACAAGGCAACTGGTTAAAAACTAAAATTTCACTTGCTATCAATAAAAACAACAGAAAATCTGCATTAAAATCATAAAATGTCTTAGCAATGTAGGTTTTAGGAACTCAGTATTGAAATAAACATCATATATATATATATTTATATATATACTATAACAATTACATGCTAGATATTAACTTAGAACTAATGTTACCTTCTCCCATAAAGAAAATAATTGTGGGCTGGGGATTTAGCTCAGTGGTTCTTGTGCCTGCCTTGCAAGTGCAAGGTCCTGAGTTCAATCCCCGGTACCAAAAGAAAATAATCGTGCCAAATTTTTTTAATTAAAAGTGTGCTGTAAAAATCTTTTGGTTGTTATATTCTATATCTTATAAATTTGTTTCCCACTTGGTGATGGTAGGAGGAAAATGTAACTATCATGGCCGTGATTTCTCTTTGTTCAGTTCACAGTGAAACTGTGTAACTGACCACAATTGAATACAAGAAAAACTGAATTTTTTGTGCTTCTATTTATCTTCTTCTTCCTCTTTTTTAGGCTTATGATTTCTGATGTTTCAATCCACAATCAGCTGCTGCGAGGCAGAAACACCATGGTGCAAGAGTATGACCATCACCAAGAGGCATCTTTTTCTGAGAATATCACTGTTTCTTGAATTACCAAGCTGAAGGTCAACAAAACCTTAGAAGATAGAAGGTATCAGGAGGGAAATACAAAGGCAAAGATTTATCTGACTTCTTAGGTGATTAACTTTGACTATCCCTTTATTGGTCTTTTGATAAATAGTTCGACTTTAACGTAAAAAGTTCTTGAAGTTGCATTTAGGAGAATACGAAGTAGGGAAAAATTAAGTGTGAACTAGAAAGCTCAAAAAACAAATTTATAAGATATAGGATATAATAACCAAAAGATTTTTCCAGCACACTTCAAGACATCGCAGCCAGGGGCAAGGACTTTTTCCCTCTTCTACTCACTAAAACTTTCTTCTTTTATTTTTTCAGACAGGGTCTTGCTATGTAGTTCGGGCTGGCCTTCAAATCACTCTGTAGCCAATACTAGGCTCAAACTCAAAGCAATCCTCCTACCTCAGCCTCCTGAGTGCTGGGATTACAGGCATGTGCTACCATGCCTCGTTGATAAAGCTCTTATAAACAACTAAAAAAAAAACCTGAACACAATATAAAAATGTGGGCCGGGGATTTAGCTCAGTGGTTTCACTGCCTGCTGTGCAAGCGCAAGGACCTGAGTTTGATTCTTGATATCAAAAAAAAAAAAAATGTGCTAATACATAAAATGATGTTTCATCAAATACAAAAGAACAAAACATTTTAAACTTAAGTAATTTTTTTGTTTGTTTTTGAGACAGGGTCTTGCTATGTAGTTCAGGCTGGCCCTGAGCTCACTGTGTAGCCCAGGCTGGCCCTGAACTCACAACAATCCTCCTGCCTTAGCCTCTCAAGTATTGGGATTACAGATGTGTGCCCCAGCTTAGTTTAACTAATATTTAAAATGAGATGCTAATTTAAAGTATTTTATATTTACTAATTTAATTAGTAATAACAATTATGATCACTGACTATGTGTTAAATTGTTCTAAGTGTTTTCCATAAATAATTACAACTTTCCATGAGAGGCACTATAGTTATCTCTATTAAGTAACTTCTTGTTATGGTTTAGATCTAGAATGTCCTCCTAAAGGGTCAGCTCTTCAGAGGTGGGCCTTTTGGAAGGTGACTGGATTATGGGGGCACAGTACTCATCAGAGGATTAACCCTCTTAAGAGTTTAAAGCCGAATGTGTTAAGAGGTAGGGTGTGAATGGAAGAGGTGGGTTACTAGGGACATAACCTGCAAGGGTATATCTCCCTCTCCAGCCCCTCCTCCTTTTGCTCTCTGCTTCCTGGCTGTTCTGAGTTGGGCACCTTTTCCTATGCCATGTTCTTCTATTTGGTAATTCTGCTAACCTGTTTCTGTCTTGGAGCCAGCTTGCCAGGGAGTGTAACTGTTAACCAATATAAACCTCTCATCCTTTACGGTGTCAATGTTGAGTATTTTGTCCCAAGGATGAGAAAAGTGACTAAGACAGATTTTGATACTAGAGAGGTGGAGTCATTGCTGTGGCTGTACCTAATCATGTGGTTTAGAAGCCTTTGGATGCGGTTCACAGAAGTATGGGAAGGTTTGGAGATGCTAGCTAAAGAAGCCCTAAGATACTGTAAACTGAGCTGATTGGTGTGCAGAAGACTATAATGTTGGTAGAAATTAAGACAAAAAAGGTTAGGCTCAAGACATTGAAGCTGGGAGCAAGGGCTCCTTTGGCAATTGGACTAGAGACCATGTGTGTTATATTCTGACAGAAAATTTGTCTCTGCTTATGTCCCGAGACTTTCTAGGGGAGGGAGATTAGAGCAATGGACTAATTAATCTGGTGAAGGAAATTTCAAGGCAGCCTAAAGTTCAGGGTGTGGCATGTTTACTGGTGGCAGCTTTTAGCCCGATCTACAGAAGAAATTAAGGCCAAAAAGCTGAGGTGAAAAGTTTTTAGCTTCCCGAGAAAGGAAGTTCCTGTAAGGTTGGGGCAAAGGACAGCACAGTTGATGAAAAAATTTGCCTTATAAAGAAGCCAAATACTTTGTATCAGCACAATCAGAAAGATGACTTGAAAGAATCTCAAGAGTCAGCAAGACCTCACCCTTCATAGCTCAAGGCACAAAAACAGTAAAGCTTTTATTTTTGAAGAGATCATCTGTGTTTGCTGCTCACAACGGGCAACCTATGGAACTGATTCTCTGGGATGCCTTTCATAGTGCTCAGCCATTCAGGCATTCAGCGGCCTCTATAACCATGATCCAAAGGGGCCTGCCTATTGCTCTAGCAAGCAGTAGACTTTGGCACCATTCACATGCAGAAATATAGACTGCAAGAGTTGTAGGGTGAGTGAAGCTTCCACCAGATTTCAAGAGGCTTGGGCAGTTAGGCAATTTGCTACTGAGATGGCAATGTGAGAAGCTGTAAGAGTGAAGCCAAAAGTGTAGTGGATCCCTCAGAAAGTTGGTGATGTCAGAAATGTGGAATGTCTGCTAAGAGAAGCCAGAAGTAGCAGAATCATTCCAAGAAAGAAGTTATGAGGGCTGCAACCAGTAATGTTAAAGGGGCAAAGCCACCCAAACCAGTTGGAGTTCACATCTCACAACTTGCTCCAGGTGCTGGATATGGAGCTACAAAATTTAATGCTTGCCCTGCTGGATTTCTGTCTTGTTTTGGTACCTTTCCTTTTTATCCCTTTATTTCTTCCTTTTGGAATGGGAATCTTTACACTATACCATTGTATGTTGATAACTTTTCTTTTTTGATTTTTAGAGGGGCTCACAGCCAAGAGTTTGCCTTGAGTCTCAAAGGAGATTTTGGACTTGGACTTTTCAGCAATACTGAAACTGTTAAAACTTTGGCGACTTTCAGAGATGGACTAAATGCCTTTTGCATAAAGAGATGGACATAAGTCTTTTGGACATAGGGGTGGAATGATATAGTTTAGATCTGGAATGTCCTTTGAAAGGCTCATGTGTTCAAGGAACTGAAGAGTTCAGAGCTGAATGTGCTGTTAGGAGGTGAAGTCTGAGGAGAAGAAGTAGGTCACTGGGGGTGTATGATCTGGAAGGGTGTATCTCCTTTCCCAGCTCCTCTCTTGTTCTCTGCTTCCTGTTGCCATGAGTTAAGCACCTTTTCCTTCACCATCCTTTTTCTGTCTTGGAGGTAAGTGAACAGGGACTGTAACTGTAAGCCAAAATAACCCCCTTCTCCTTTAAGTTGTGGGTGTTGGGTATTTTGTCCCAGCAACAAGGAAAAGTGACTAAGACACTTGTCCATGGTCTTACTTCTTAAACCTTATAAGGGTCTGAAATAGTATTTAAACCCAGGTAGTCTGGTTCTATACTTCATGCTCTTAAATATTACATTTCGGTGGTACTTTGGGTCACAAATGCGTATGTTTACAAACAATCTGGCTTGCAAACAGAACTGTTTGCCAACATTTATTTTCATTTGCAAACTCTGCATTGGGTAATAAACACAATCATAGCCATCTTTCCCACACAAACACAAATGTGGCTATCTTTTCCAGAATCACAGAACAAATTAAGTTTGTGAACCAATCACTGTATAATAATATATATTCAGTATTTGTAAGTGTGGGCACTCTTACATAGATCTGAAGAAACTCAATACAATCCTTCTGGAGGGGACTTGGTAGTATGAGTCAAAAGCTTCATATATACATGATATAGTATAATTCCAAAATTCCATTTCTGGAATTTCATCCTAGTACTACCAAACATGTATCAAGCATGTATCAAGCATTTACATGTATCAAGAATTTACATGTATCAAGCATTTACTATGTACCAGATATTGTGTTAGTTGCTTTATATATGTTATCCATTTAATCTTTACAAAATTTAAAAGGTAGGTAGTAGTATAAGCCTGATTTCCAAGTTGGAAACTGAGATGAAGAAAGTTCTAAATAAATTGCCCATGATCATATTGGCCATGATGAAGCTGAAGTTAAACCTAGGCTGAAACTTCAAAACCCATATTCTTCAGTGCTAGGTGGTACCACACAATAAGGGAATAATTAAGGATTTATTAAGAGATGAATGTACCATGGCATTCATAATAAGGAATAATTAGAAGCACTCTAGATGTCCAAGGAATGAAAAATGATTAAATTAATTACAACACAGCCATATAATAAAATATGTTGACACTTTAAAAAAATGATGGAGCTAGGCATGGTGGCAGGAGCCAGGCATGGTGGCGGGAGCCAAACTTGGTGGTGGGAGCTGGGCATGGTGGTACATGCTTGTAGTCCCAGAACTCAGGAGGCTGAGACAGGAAGATTGCCATAAGTTCGAGGCCTGCCTGGGCTACACAGTGAGTTCAAGACCACCCTAAACTACACACCAAGACCCTGTCTCAAACAAACAAACAAACAAACAGATGTGCTAAGGGGTATGGTGTATGCAACTCTCAAATAATTCAGAAAAACTGTATGTGTGTATATAATATGTGTATGTGTTTGTGTGTGCATATGCAGGCTTATATATATCTAAATCTCAGAGAAAAAAGTGCACAGCATGAGAAAGTGCACATGTGAATACACCCACAAATGATAAAGCAACAGGGAAAAATGTTGACAATAATGGATGCTAGTCTTTTGACCACACTGAGCAGCAAAGATAAAGAGGATCCTCAAAACTGCTTAAATCATAAAAGTCAGAAAAATAAATTAACTAAAAAAACCCTGCTTAAATCAGGTGAGTGGTAACTCACCAATCCTTTAAGTGGCAAATTTCTACAAAATAAGGCATACTTACGAAGCAAATGGGATTTTTAAAATAGGATCTGAGTTGACAACAGGAAGGCTCCCAGATTTAAAGTGAGGACTAAACTGTGTCAGGTGGTTCCGAAGAATTCCAACAGCAACTTGTGCATGTGGATCAAGACTAACTCTGAATAACATTAATAAAAGGTTGTTAATTTTTAAGAGTAATTTATTCAAAATTAACAAGATATGCAAACTATTTTAAATATAAGTCAACAGTTTGAACTCTAATTAACATACCTGAATATAATAACACTTCCTGGAGACAAGTTTTCAAATTCTATTTCTTGAATATATTCATTGGGCCCCTTTGTGGCAATTCCAGCTTGTTTAACAATTTTACTTTCATTGAGCTTAAAAAAAAGGTATAAAATCCATTCAATAAGTTTAATGTCCTTAAAGTATTGCATATATTAAAAAGATGAGAGCCCTAAATACCTGAATATGTTCTCTAATTTCTACTGTGATATTTGGCATTCCATTGATTGAATGCTCATCCTTTCTATAAGGTTGTGTACTTCTCTCAATGGTTCTAGCTTCAAGAACAACTTCTTCAATTTTGCCTAGAAACATATAACATTAAGATTATTCCTAATATACATTCAAAACTTAAATAAGAACACCATTAAGCATACTAAAGAATATTAAAAATTGAATACTAACCAAACAAAATATGAAACATAGTAAAAATCACAATTTTATAGACCGACAAACAGAAATGCTTTATGAATGATCAGTGACCAAAAAATGAGATAATATTGTACAGTGACTGAGTTCTGTAAAGGCAGCTATGGCTGCCGAGAGTGTATGTAGCTCAGTGGTAAGAGCATGTGCTTAGCAAATGAGAGGTTGTGGGTTCAATCTCCAGCACAAAAAATATAAAACAAACAGAAAACTACAAACATTAGCAAAGATCAGACAAGATTATTGAATATAAATTTTTGAATAGTTGAAATAGTGACTATTTAACCCTAAAACTACTGAGGTTGATAATTTTTAAGAATTGCAATTACGTATATTTAGCAACTAGCAACAAATATAAAATGTTTTTTATGGGAATCTTCATTCAGTAAGTCAACAAACTTGGAAGTTGCTGCTTGTACAAGAGCAAGGTATGCTGTAATATACTATCTATAATAGTAAGGAAATATACACATGTAGCAAAAAAGAAAGCAACAATAAGGATATATCTCAGGGACATACTTTATAATTAATTTTTGTTGTTTTTGAGACAGTGTCTCCCTATGTAGTTCAGGATAGCCTTGAACTCACTATGTAATGCAGGCTGGCCCTGAACTCATGGCAATCCTCCTGCCTCTGCCTCCCGAGTGCTGAGATTATAGGTGTGCACCACCACCACACCTGGCCATATTTTATAATTAGGTGTCAAAGGAGAGCTATAACTATGATTGCTATATGTTTAGAAGAGAGAGAGAGATCATTGAGTTCTTATAGGCTTCTGAAAGGAGGAAGAACTTTAGTCCTTGAAGGAGATAAACATTTTATATACAAGTACAAGTAAGATTACTTGGGGAACAGAGAAAATATCTATTCGGTTGAAATAGTAGACTAGCACAGGGCTAAGATGGTTATGAAGATGGGTTATGAAGAGTCTTAAGTATTAAGACTATTTTCCATTTGTGTTTACATAAATAATGCACACTTAAACACACATGTATACATGTGTACACATACGTATATACAGAAATATTTATACAGCATAAAAGACAAAAAAATACATGTCTACTATATACGTATAAGTAAAAGGAATATGTATATTAAGATGTAAACAAAAATATTTTAAACACTGAAAATTTAACATCTGAGACTATTTCTGTTCAGATTTTATCCCAGGAAGTAAAAATATAATCTAAAATTTCCAATTCCTCATCTCAATGACATTCTTACTTGTACTGTTACATAATATATGACAATTCAATATAACATTATACTACCTGTATAATTTAATATATAGTTACAATAACATTTTTAGATTGCATACCAGGGATGCACATTTGAGGCACTTCCTTGCTGTAAAATGAAGTTTTGGGATTTCTGAAAGCAGTTCTAGATACAGCCACAACAGACTGATGAATACTAGGTGAATGTCTTGTTACTGCCACTATGTCTTCATCAACTTGATCTACATATACCTGAGAAAGGGAAAGAGCAACTAAATTGTACTCCAAGTCTTTTTCTACAAACCTTCAGAAAGAAATTTAGAGGATTCAGTTTCTTGCCTGAATAAAACCCTTGGCTCCAAGCTCTTGATGAAGTTTATTAATAGCACACCTGGCTGCAATAATTCCACTTTGGAAATTAACATCACCCATATTTGATGGCAATGCTCCAGGATTCCACTTAGTGTAAAACCGTTCTTCAGAAACAACTGATATCTGGGGAAAGGTGAAATTTACTCATTTATATATTTTAATTACAATGAGAACTTTTGATAAAAATGCTCAAAGCTGGAAGCCATTGAATTTTAGAAAACTACATATAAACAAACCTGATGAGGCACTAATTCATCATAGCCTCGTGTACTTCCGCTAGCACAAGATGCCATAGAAACAACTGTGGTACTTGGAAGAGCATCATAGGCTGATCTATGCTAGAAAACAAAAACAAAGCAAAAGTTTACTTTCTTTCAAATGCAAAGTGCCATTCTATAGTATAATAAAATAAAAGGATAATTACATAAACACATTCTATGAGTACATTAATTTTTTTAAACAACAGAATATTCTAAAATACAGGTATTACAATCACTTATAAATCTAATATGTTATTCTGAAGACTGTGAAATTCTTGCTACAAATATCAGGACTAAATATTAAAACATTCATCAGAGAAAAATAGGTAAATACAAGAAATGGACTGATGCTTACCACAATAGGACATTCATTATCATGGGTGATATCCATAAACAGGGCATGTGCGATGGCTGGCATTAAAGGCCTCAAACAGGGCTGAACAAAGGATCCAACAGGTTCTCCACCATATCGGTAAACTAATCTGCCCTCTTCATGACTATTATATGCACTCATTGCCTCTGCAGAGTATTACAGAATATTTTAACAATCTCTATTACTCACGTCCAGGAAGAGGTTAGATTTCTTACCATGACTAATTTTTAAAACAAAGAATATATTAATATTATTAAAAACAATAAAAATATAAAAATTAGAATGCCTTTAAGCAATTAAACAACTGTCAATTAGTTTAAGTGAGCAAGGAAGTTCTCCTATAACTTAACAGCAGAAGTCACTCAAGTAGAAAGTATTTGTTTATTGAGAGGTTGGCTGTAAAAAAATCTATGGAAAAAAATCTAAAAATTATGTCTTAAATCCACGCAGGTGATAAAAAACAGATCTGCATATTTCAAACAACAAAAAAATGGTTTTGTTTGTGAGTTATAAGTTCATCCCACTGGTCTTTAATTTGAAATGAGGTAACTTACCTCAAAGTAGGTATTTTTTACTGATTAAAAGTTATATAAAAAACTTCATATAGACTATTTAAATAAACACTTAAAATGATTAAGCATTTCATATAAAGCTCTTAAATGCCTTTCAATCAACTTAAACAAAAGGTAAATTTTTAGATGGGAAATATACTTCAATCAGCCTACCTCTTATTAAGGAACTAATGCCCAGTCTAGTGACAAAGATATTGTCCAGATCTTCACTTCCTGTGAATAGTTCAGCTACTACATATAGATTGGGTTGTAATTTCCTAGCAGCATCCAACATGTACTGCAAGAAGCACAGTCACAAATTTAAAAGAAAGAGAAAAGCAAGATGGGTTGGAAGGGAGGAGGCAAGGCTAAGTGGGGATTTGACACAGGATGTATAGCAAGACAGAGTGGACATTCAAAAAGAATTTCCAAATAAATTTTGTTTCCACATGTAAGAAAACATCAAGCAGATCAATACACGGAGGAACAAGAGAATTTATATAGAGTAAAACAGTTAAAAAGAAAGATTTTTCCAAAAGATATAGAGACACAAAGGAGAAAAAAAGGAAAAAGAAAAATGTTAGTGTCGTTAAAAAATGTAACCCACGACATTGCAAATCTGCCAATCTTTCCCATTTTTTGTTTATTTTTAATACCTCTAGTCAGTAGTCAGACTGTTAATTTCTGGCTGGTTGATTAAGCTTATCATTACTGATAAATTTTGTAGTGGTTAATAATTTAACAATTGCAAAGATTAGGTCTGACTAGCCAAACTGAAGCCTGCAGATGATAATAAACTCTTAAACTCTTAACATCTTACAATTTCTATTTGTACAATTGCTTTATGTTGGTGCTAGCTAGCTATCTAGCTGACAATCAAAAAGCCAATACTGGTTTATAATCAGAAATCAGATTAATTCCTATTTTTTTCATAATGTTTTCAAAAAAGTTAACAAAATACCTGAAATTTTAGCTAACAAGTAGAATCCTAGAGGATTCCGTGATTTTAAATTATGCAAATTAAGTGCTAATTTTCAGTTTTGCCATAATATCATAACAATGTTATGCATATATACGTAATTGTTATTGCTAAAGGCAAAACTTAAAAAAAAAACTCTGCCATTTTTGAAGCTAAACAATGTTCTACTAGTATAACTTATGTTTACTAAATCCCTCCAAATCAATTTTTCATCATAGGACTTGAAACATATACATTATAATTGTATGTAAAAATTATAGAAACAGATATTCTTCAAATAAGCACATATTTCCAAAGAATACCAAACTGTAAACTAGGAAGCTATCATACTTCTTAGGATGAAAATTTTAAGTGTTTATTTACAAAGCTGTATTAGGTAGGAGATAAATTATAAATATTAGCATTGTTCCCAAGTTGCTTTTCAAAGTCCAAAGATGAATACACAATAATTATTTATATTTTAAAATAAATAATGGGTAAGAATTGAGTCAATGTGGCTAAAACAAGTCTCAATGTGCCACAATATTAGAGTTTAAATAATCACTAATGGGCCTCCTTCAAGATGTTTCCAAGAGGTAGAAAAGGGCTGAGAGCATAGCTCAGTGGTAGAGGACTTGTCTCCCATGTTTAAAGCCCTGGGTTTGATCCCCAGAACCTCTTCCCCCTCAAATCACTATAATATGCAGTAAACTACTCAACTTTACATTTGCTACTAGTATATATTGAAAGGAACCTTAAAAGGCAAACATTTTTATCTATTACTAATAGGCGTCATAGTTTTGATATATCTGTATTACCAGAGACAAAATTATCAACCTCGCAAAATTAAAGTTTAAAAACTAACTTAAACTAACTAAATATTTTATGGCCCAGTTTTCCGTAACAACTGTATTCAAAGACTGTTGTACTTAGGTAAATTATGCAAAAGAGTTAAATTTTACCACCAAAACAATGCCAGAATCCAAATAGCACAATGAAACATGTATCTGCATAGCTGCTTAAGAAAAGCTATGAAAGAATGCTTTTATTATTGTTGTATCTATATTTTTTTAATATAGAAGAATTGCTTTTCTGTACCTCAGCTACATGAAGAGGTGTTGAGTGGCAGTTATCAAGACGTACACCCTGGAAATAAGTTGCAGTTATTTCAGTATATTTTTTCATGTGTGCCCAGAGGTAAGGACAATCTTCTGGTTTATTCCCATAGCGTAATTTCACACTGTCTCCCCAGCATATAAGTTCTCTCCTTAAGTAAACATCTGAACCTGTTAAGAAAAAAAGGCATGCTTTCAATGGTTCAAGAAATAGAATAAAAATAATTACCTCAAGGAAACACTGTCATTTTCACTTTATTTTTTTAATTGTTTATTATAGTTATGAGGGGTTGGTACACGTACATGACACATCTTAATTCTTTTACTTCCCCTTTCCCTTCCCTCCTTCCATCTCTAGAGCTTCCCATTTGTAAAAGACCTATTAAAGAAATACTGCCTTTTTTTTTTTTTTTTTTTTGAGACAAGGTCTCCCTGTGTAGCTCAGGCTTGCCTTGAACTCACTAGGCCTAGGCTGGCCTCAAACTCATGACGATCCTCCTGCCTCAGCCTCCCAAGTGCTAGGATTATAGGTATGCACCACCACACCCAGCTAATACTGTCATTTTTAAAGTGAATTATTTCTACCACAAATGATATTTGGTTAAAATTATACCTAAAATGGTATGAGACAAAAATATAAAATTAATACAACATGAATTTGTATCTCATACTATTTTGCAAAAATTCTAGCTTACAGTTTGATCCCCAGTACCCAAAAAAAAAAAAAAAAAGAAACAAAAATTCTAGCTTATGATCTCTTCTAAAAAATGTGGGCTTAATTTCAAAAATTCAAGTTGCTTCTTAAGCAAAAACAGTAATAGTAATTATCACAGGCTCTTAAAAACCGTAGTTTTACCAGAAACATTTAAAGCTACATCTCTACCTTTCCATTCATTTTTGAGAATAGTTTACATTAAATCTGTGGTATATGGCAGAATGAATTTTTTCATTTAGAATGGCTAGAAAAGAGAGGGCAGATATACTTAAGCCCAAAGTTACATAGTTATATTTTTATAAGAACAGAAGAATTCTGATTTTAACTTTAATGTTACTAAATAAATTTTGGGTTCCGAAATGTTGAAAAGCACCCCCTGCAAAATGTTTCCTAACAATGAAACAGTAGGAGAAAAAAGATGCCAAGAGTAAATGAGGGGGAACCTAGAAACAATTATTTCTAGTTTGTCTTTCAAATACCTTAGAGCCAATGAGTGAAAATATCTATGACTATAACAGCTATGGTTTCAAACTTTTTAAAAGTATAATAAGTAATATTTTGCCCAAATAATAGCTTATATAGATTCACAAAATATAAATTAAATACACAAAAGCTCTTCTTTTGTTGGGGGGGTGGGGTTTGAGACAGGGTCTTGTTATATAGCCCAGGTTGGCCCCGAACTTGCAGCAATGCTCCTGCCTCAGGCTCCCAAGTGCTCGGAGTACAGGTGTGCACCACCAAGCCCAGCTCAAAAGGTATTCAGTTTGACGAAATGCAGGTAGGAAGGCAAGGCCAGAAAAGGATATGAATACCATCCTTCTTTTCTTCTCTGTCAAATATTAATTTATATCTTATACCTATTTTGCAAAATTCTAGCTTATAGTCTTTAAAATTTCAAAAATTTAAGTTGCTTCTTAAGGAAAAAGAGTAATAGTAACAGGTTCTTTAAAGCTATAGTTCTGCTCAAAATAGTTTTCTTTCTTGTTTCTCTCAAACTGATGTACCTCTGATACTTGTAGTGAAACAGTTGAAAAACTAGCCTCACTGGGGAAAGATCCCAGTAAAACAGACCATATCTTAAACTTTCCAAGAACTCTTCTTTCCCTATGCACAGAGAAGTCAAAAATGATGTACCTGGTTCAGCAAAGTTTCGAAGAGGATCATCTCCCATCACCCATCCATTATGTGCCATGAAAAAACAAGCTTTATTTGGGATGTGCATCATAGATTCTTCTGTGGATAAGCTCATTTCTTCAAATGGGAAAGTAAAATACCTAGAGATACAATGAAATATTAAATCCTAGAGAGAAATCCCTTAGAGAGAATTTGAATCTGCAATATTAAAAATTAAACTTTTTCACTGAGTAGAATAAAATTAGTTTGACACCATTTCCAGGATATAAAATTCAAATATGTAGGTAGATTTTTTGAGTTAATCTAGTAGGATTAGAAGAGTGAAGAGTTAAAATTGTACCATACATAGCTAACTTTTAAAATAATTTTTTAAATCTACTAAAATTACAGGAAAATTCCTTGAGATATTCCTGTTGGTTTGCAAACGCTTTTTATTATCTTCTAGTTGTCCATCTTATGCTGCATGTTAAAATAAAGTAAGGAGCTAGCTACTTGCTCGATTTGGTTAACACTGAATTATTACTAGTAACTGCTGTGGTCTGACTGTGTCCCCCAAAAGATAATGTGTTGGATCCTTAATTCCTTATGTATGGAGGTGGTGCCTTGTGATAAGATTTTGGACCCTGGGGGTGGAAACCTTGAGTGGATTAATGCCTTCCTTGAGTGAGTTCTCCCTCTCTGGGACTGGTTTAGCTATTACGAGAGTGGGTTTGTTGAGAGTGAGGGTGCTCCCTGTGTTCATCTCTGCTGTATGTGCTCTCTGCCCTACCACTTTCTGTCCCGAGTTGATGCAGCATAAAGCCCTTTCCAGAAGCTGAGAAGAGGCCATCAGTATGCTTCTAAGACTTCCCAGGCTCCAGAACCCTGAACCAAAATAAACCTGTTTCAGGGCCGGGGATTTAGCTCAGTGGTTGCACTGCCTCCCTCACAAGCACAAGGACTAGAGTTCAATCCCCGGTACCAAAAAAAAAAAAAAAAAATTGAGACAAAATAAACCTGTTTCTCTATAAAATGTTCCAATCTCAGGCATTCTCTATTCCAATGACAGAAAAGACATCTACTATGCAGTCCTCCAGAAACATTAGTGTAAATAATATTTATAAGTTGGTTCAGAGTGAGATAATATTTTTAACTAAAGATTTGCCTAACAAAATTAATAATAAGGGGCCAGGGATTTAGCTCAGTGGTTCCGCCGCCTGCCTTGCAAGCAGAAGGTCCTCAGTTCGATCCCCGGTACCAAAAAAAGAAAAAAAAAATTAATAGTAAGTATACTTGTGCATTAAATCTTCTACTTCAATTTAAGAAATGTCCTGAAATCACACCTTAAAAGAAACATTTATATTAACTTGCAATATTGAATACAATTTTCAAATGAGAAGAAAACAAAAATGGAATACCTGGTAACTAAGGGATGCTTTCTAGTGACAGGACCTAGTTTAGGACCATGGCCAGCCATTCGTTCATAAAACACATTTCCCAAAAGGCAATTAACTGCCTAGAAAATATTAAGTTATGTTATATCATTATTAACAACAAAAAAACAGTATTAAGTCTCAAAGAGAAATAACAGTTTAAAAATAAGTAAGACCTGTTCCTGATGGTAGTGTATGAGCTGATGCTTCTCTGAATTCAATTCCTCAATTCTCTTATGAAACCAATTACAGCATTCTTCAATTGCGGCTGGTCCACTGCTAGAGCAGACAGAGTAATACAAAGTTATTTAGTGGTTTTATAAAACCTACATTTAAAAACTTTCTAACAAGGGTCATAGAATCCTTAAATATGATCATCAGGATCTTAATTATGGCTGAAAAACTATTGCAACTGTAAAAATTTTTACATACATGCATAGAAACATGACCTGGAACACAGATGAAGTGGGAAGGTGTCATGTGCTGAAGCAGTAGAATTACGAAGCATTACTTCACTTCATTTCCTGTGAAGTGTTTTAATCAGTATGAAAGTCATACTAGCCAAAAAGGTATACATGTAATATTTTTCATTTCACAGGACTTATAACATACTTATGTGGTATGAAAGTTGCCAGTGCAATGTTCATATCGACAGTACAGCCATGCCGTCTGTATTCAGAATCCTGAATAATCTTAAGATGTTGTTCTGGATCAGACTTGGTTACTCTTCTATTTTCTAAAAGAAAGAAAAAATTATATCTTAAATGAAAATATCCACAAGAAGATTATTGTCACTGGCTTTAAGTGTGCAGTCTATTATTACTTTTATAGAAAATAAAACCTTATTTTACAAGCATCCTTCATGCTTCTCCTTTTTTTTTTTTTTTGGTTTTCTGAGACAGTGTCTTGCTATAATAGTCCAGGCTGGCCTTGACCTCTCACTACATAGCCCAGAGCGGCCTGAAACTCTCAGTGATCACTCTGCCTCAGCCTCCTGAATGTTGGTCAAGGCATTATACAAAAAGAAACAAAATATCATTATAAAAGGAAAACATAGGGATTCCTTCAGTTTAATCCTAATCCTACTTTGCTGCCTCAGTCAGAATTCATTTATTCATGTTTTACACTATTAACGACTTTGGGAGTAAGTGCTTTCTTCTCAGGTACATACTACCAAATATTTTAACCTCAGGAGTTGTTTCCTCAGAGATTGCTTCTGTTTCTAAAATAAGTCTTATCAACAACCTGTCTTTCTTTGCATTCTCTGAAAGAAGCACATAGCTTTGTTTTTATGTATTATTTTCTGTTTTCAACTACAACCATATCATTTACATAATAATAAGATAAAAAGGAAATATATGGTTTTGGGGGGAATTCTCATTCTTTTTCTGGAACTTGTTTCTAATAAATAAGGCAATGATGCAGGACTGTCTCCACTGGAAGTGATTTTATATTAAAAAATTAATTCGTATTTGGCTTAAATGACAGATAATTTGAAAAAGCTTATAAAAACACAAAGTAAAATAGATTCTTAAAATTCAATTTTTAAAATCTGGAGAAGTATATAAAAACTGCCAAGAAATGTTTGAAAAAGAGATAAATCTGTACCATCAGTGTCAAGTAATAGTTTTTAGTACTGGTAAAATCAAAGACAGATTGCTGGAAGAACACAGAAAATAGACCAATGTATATTTAGTATATAACTATATACTGTACCATAAAGTATTATGGTGGTACTTCAAATCAGTATAAAGAATGAATTATCAATTCAACATCATTTTTGAATAAACACAGTTAAATACCTCCTTTATATGATTTAAATGTATTAAATATAGAAACATATAATAAGATTATTAGAAGAAAATATAAAATATTGATAGGTATTTTCTAAGTATGATGTGAAATCAGAAGCCCTAAGAGACTGATGACATTAAAAAAAATACCAGAAAAAATAGAAGTTAGGATGAGGGATTTAGCTCAGTGGTGCCGCTGCCTGCCTCACAAGTGCAAGGCCCTGAGTTTGATCCAGAGTTTAAAAAAAAAAAAGAAACAGGAGTTAAATGATTAATGGTATAATAGGAAAATATATTTGGGGCCTATATAAGAAGGAAATATTAGTAATAATATATCAATATGAAAGAGGCAAATGGTTCAATAGAAAAATGAAGAACATTAATAATCAATCAATGCAAGAAACAACCAACCAGCTTCCATGTGAAAAGATTTAATAATCAAAGATATAAATTAAAATAAGATATGCTTTGTCTGACAAAGATTTTAAAGATTGTTTCTAATGTTTGTGAGGGTATTTCTTATAACATAAGCTTTAGTACTGCTTATAATAATGTAAGCTGGTATAATGCCTTATAAAAAGCAATCTGATAATATCTATTATATTTAAAATTTATTCTACAGATTTACATAGCAAGTAAACATAACATACGCAAGATATATTTTCTGCAGCACTGCTTACAAGTTCTATTAGGGCAAGGATTTTGTTATGTTCATCACTGAATCTTCATGCCTGAAAAATGTCTAACACAAAGCTGATTGTTTAATAAATATACACTGACTGGGTATAGTGGTGCATGCCTGTAATCCCAGCACTCAGGAAGCTGCGGCAGGAAGATCACTGTGAGTTTGAGGCCAACCTGGGCTACACAGCGAGTTCAAGGGCAGCCAGAACTACATAGGGAGAACCTGTCTCAAAAAAACAAAACAAATAAACAAACAAACATACATACCCTGAATGAATAATAATGAAAAAACTGGAAATAACCTACCAAAATGAATAAATAAATTTATGCATTTTAAAACAGTATATAGCAATACACTTATTACATAGGGGGGTAAAAGAAATAATCAGCTGTAATAAATTCATACTGTCAACCAAAAGAAAAAGCTAAACAGTTTCCGCTCTAGTCTTATTTGTGTGTAGAAAACAGATATAAATATAAAGCCATGTATGTATATAATTTATAGTTATTGAAAATAAAGAATTTCTTTGAAAAAGTCTGAAAAAAAATACAGAAAGCATCAATTCGTAGTTCCCTCTAAGAAGTGAATTTCAGGAGAGGGAAGTCACATATCATATTTAACACTAGGGACTGAATCCAGGCTACACTCCCAGCCGGAACAGGGTCTCACTAAGACTTGGTCAGTTGCCCAGGCTGGGCTTGACATTGTGATCCTCTTGCCTCAGCCTCTCAGAGTGCTGGGATTACAGGCTTGTGCCACCACACCTGGCTTGCTATTTATCTTTATGATGAATATACATTATTGCATATACACATTACAGCTTAAATACACCAGAGAAGATAAATACACCAGGGAAGATAGAGGCTCTTTCATAAAATAAAACATGAAAGAAAGCTAATATAAAAATTCCTATATTTAGGGTATGACACAATCATAAAAGTTGATGCTGAATCTGACTAAGCTTCCTGAATCTCAAGACAATTCTACTTCAAAGGCATTATTTCTGGGTCCTACTTTAAATCTGTTTTCAAGATCTAGAAGGAAACTTCTTAAGAGCCTCCAAAGATTCTCAACACTAGGCTGTCCTACACTAATAAGATACTTTCATTATAATCCTTTCTAATTTGTCTCTTAACGCTAATTTCTCTTTGAGTACAGTTTTTCCTATCTTACTTTGTTGGGGGTGCATTGATTAACTTCTTGATTAATTATGTCCATAACTAAAGGTGGGTTTTTTTGTTGGTTTTGTTTTTTGAAACAGTTTCGCTATGTAGTTCAGGCTGGCCTTGAATTCACTACAGCATCCAGGCTGGTCCGGGCTGGTCCAGGCTGGTCTCAAACTCGAAGCAATCCTCCTGCTTCAGCCTCCTGAGTGCTGGGATTAGAGGCATTCACTACCATGCCTGGCTCTTTATCTTTTCTTACAAACTATCATCTGGCTTTAGTGTCACTAGTGGTTAGGTGGCCATTGTGATGGGCACCATCAGCTGAAGGCTCCTCCTCACTGGTTAAGATTCTTACTACAGATGGCAGAAAACTATCACATCTCTGATTCAAGGCCTGTTTCAAGCCTTTCTCGACTGAAGTAACATGCTCTACCTCTCATTCATATTTTTATGCTCTACCTCTCATTCAACTATAATCTGAGCATTCTGCTATGGAACCAGCAGTAAGATACAGTTCCCAAGGGAAACAATTACATTACACATTATTATGACACAGTTTAGATGTCTCTGCTCTCAGATTCCAGAAATATAGCTTTATAGCATCAAAAATAACCCAAATATTATATAAGTAAAACAGATTTAATTATAATGTTAACCAAAAGAAAAATTATAAATCACATAGGAATAATATTACATTTCTTTAAATTGATAGGGATGACCTGATTTATGTCCTTTACCTTGTGTGAGAAGTCTTCTAAATTCCTCAACTGCTTTGTGTTCATCTACTTGGAAAAATTCCCACAGCTTAATCTTCGGATAAATATCCTCCCAAATTACTTTTCGAATGCACTACAAAATTTTAATAGTGAAAAAAAAGTATGAATATGAATCTTTTTGCCAAATACTGGTTAGAATGTTAAAACACATAATTTTTTTGTTTTTGATTTTGTTTTTGGAGTCAGGGTTTTCCTCTGTAATTTGGGCTGGCCTTGAACTCTCTATATAGCCCTGGGCTGCCCTCAAACTCACAGTGATCCTCCTGCCTCAGCCTCCTGATTACAGGCATGTGCCACCACACCCAGCTTCAAATACATATTATAAATAATTTTCAACCAGATATTTAATTTTTACTTTAGAAATGTTGTTAACTCTAATTTGGTGTGATGGTTCTCTACACATACTTACATTCATGTGGTGATCATTTTCAATCAAAGCAGGGATTCCCTTTTCTCTGAATTTCCCTTCTGCAACCTCACAGGAGAAATGCCAGAATGCTCTGTCTAAAACCCAGGCAGGCTTTAAGTGCGGAGAGTTCACAAGATTATATGCAGATTCTGGATGTTCCTGGATCCATTTACTGTTAGCAGCTTAAAGAGAAAGGAAACACATATTTTGTGATTAAAGTGAATATTTTATAATTAAAGAAAATACCTGTGCTAAGCTTAAAAGTAAAAGAAAACATTGACATCTACCACTAATTTCCTTCTGCCTTAGACATTAGTATTTTATGATACTATCATATAAAATTTTCTTTGTATGATATCCTATAATCTATTTCACCATACTATTTTAAATTTTAATTCTGCTTAGAAAATTCTAATGGCTTGCTTCCAATATTTGGCTATTATGAATTGTGCTATCAACAAATTAGTAATAAAGAAAACCTGGTATTTATACACAATGGAGTACTATCTACTATAAAGAAAAATAAATGAGTCATTTGTAGACACACATGCACCTTGAGACCATAATGTTAAGTGAAATAAATTGGGCACACAAGCTTAAATATTGGATGATTTCTCTTATATGAAAAACCCAAAATATAAGGAGTGAAATAAAAGGATAATAGGAAGTAGGGAGATGGAGCTTTTTCAAATGGGAAGGGGATCAAGAGATGAAGGGAAAGGGAGAGAAGAGAAGGAAAGAGGATGAAAAAAGAATGAAGGTGTTTTACGTACAGGTACTAACTCCACACATGGAATGTAAACATTATGTACTGCAAACATGTACTGATTAAAAAAAAAAAAAAGAAAATCCTGATTGAAGAAAAATCAGTTATCTCATGGGTAATCTCTTTGCATAGTAATCATGAGGGTTAATAAAATACGGGCTTAGATAAGACAGATAAAAGTGAGGCTAAGAAGTTTCTAAAAGAAATATACTGAAGGAATAAGGATGTGGTTTGTATCTTTTTATCCATTTGCATCAGTAAGTTCAGAAGCAGAATCAGGAGTTTGGAAAGATGCCAATTATTAAAGATAACTTACAACATTATAAAGATTTTTTTTAAATGGAGAAGACTCATACACAATTTGCCTGATATCCATCCACCCATCACCCATCCACTCATCTATCATCTATCTGTATATCTGTGTTTTTATTTTGGAGACAGGGTCTCACTTTGTAGTTCAGACTGGCCTTGAACTCACTATGTAGCCCAGGCTGGCCTCAAACTTCAGCGTCCTGAGTGCTGGGATCACAGGCATGCGCCACCACACCTGGCAAGCTTGTATGATTTTTAAATGGGCTAATGCCCCCTGAATTCACACTAAAGAGAAGAGTGGTTAGTGAAATAATAAGGAATAGCAATCACTGCATACATACCACATGCTGGGAATTGTTCTAAACAGTTACATGCACTAATTTTTTTTTTTTTTTTGATACCGGGGATCAAACTCGGGACCTTGTGCTTGAAAGGCAGGCGGCGTAACCACTGAGCTAAATCCCCAGCCCTACATGCACTAATTTATGATTCCTCATTTCCTACCATTTGATAGAGAATATACTATTATGTTCGTTAATAGATGAAGAACTGAGGCATAGAAAGTAACTCAGCCAAAGTCAGACAGCCAGGAATTAACTTGAGCAATTCTCTCTTCAGAATTTGGAATCATAACCTCTTTGCTCTGTTGCTGAGATGAATGTGTTTATGTCTCATTTACTCAGCTGAATGCTCTTACAGATTTTTAGAATCATTATTATTTCTATTTCTGTATTTAGTAAACTATTCATATAGTATTTATTTATGCCCACAATAAACACTTAGATGAAGAAGGTTTTGTAAAGAATACAGATCGTACAATAAGAGTTAAATTGATAATTTTCAAAGTTTGCATCAAGATGCTGTTCCTCTGGGTGTGGTGGCACACACCTATAATCCCAGCACCCAGGAGGCTGAGGCAGGAGGATGGATGAGTTCGAGGCCAGCCTGGGCTACATAGTGAGTTGAAGGCCAGCCTGAACTACATAGTGAGACACTGTTTCAAAAAACAAAAACAAAACAAACAAATAAAGATGCTATTTTTTAGATTCATCATCACATTCACTGAAATTCAAGGTATTTGTTAAAAAGATAAAATGTAGCAATGGTTATATTTAGTTAGAATTTTCACTTACTGGGCTAGAGGCAGGGCCCAGTGATGGAGTACTTGTCTAATACATGCAAGATCCTGAGTTCACATACATACATACGTATATATGAATGCTATGAATAAATGCTAAGGCTCCCCACTGCCCTTTTCTTTTGAGGAGTTTAGCTATGAGACCCAGGCTGGTCTTCAACCACTAGGTTCTTCCAAATAGCTAAGTATCATGCCTGGTTCTACTCTAATTTTTTTTTATAGTATTGAGGACTGAACCCAGGGCCCTGTGCATAGTAGGATGTGCTCTACCAGCCCTTTCAGTGCAGGGTCTTGCTAAGATGCTCTGGCTGCCCCCGAGCTTTCGATCTTCATGCCTCAGCCTCCCCAGTGGCTGGGATAATAGGTGTGTGCCATCATATCCTGACATGCTGATTTTTTTAATGGTAAAGTCCTGAAATGGTCTCTTCTCAAACAAATTAAGTATCAAATGAAGTAATTCAAAGCATTAAACAAGGAAGGTATGTATCCTTTTTTAAATTCTACATGAAAGAGGAATGAAACTCCTGACTGTGTTTTAACATACCAAAATTAAGGACCCGAGTTCGATCCTCAGTACCAAAAACACCCCCAAAAAACAAAAACACACCAAAATTAAAAATTAATCACAGGTGGGGCCAGGGATGGTGCTGCTGTCTACCTTGCAAGCGCAAGGTCCTGAGTTCAATCTCCAGTACCAAAAAAAAAAAAGTAATGATAATAAAAATTAATCACACACTTCTGGAGTAAAGGACTCAAAAAACACTGTTCCCAATTTAACTGGTAAAAATCATTAAAAAAACAATCACTTAATGTCTCTGGAAGGGCATTTAGCACACTGAGAAAAACTTACCCAAAATAATAACAGCAAGAATCTGTGGCATTTGTCAAGACTGGGTTTTCAAAATATGAGAAGAGGAAATAATATGGAAACAAGGTCTTTGCAAATAGGGAAGGGTGGAGGGGGTGAAGGAAGGGCAAGGGAAGGGGAAAAAAAATAAGAACCAAGAGACTCATGTAATGGTACAAGATCCCAATGATGAATGTAACTGTATTTTATACCGAAAATGTACCAATAAAGTTAATGGGGAAAATAAAAAAAGTAAAATAAAACTAAAATTTAAATTTAAAATAATAAAAAAAAAAAGACTGGGTTTTCAGTGTCCATGGTCTGTTACCCTGGGCTAGGACATCTAGCCACGAGTGGGTGAGAAAGGGAGCTGCCCACCTGGCAACAGAGCTTCTGTGACATGGGGTAGGGGAATGAAAGGCAGCCTGACCCTCTCGGGGTGAAGTTGCACCCCCAAATGGGAGCTGGGGGAGAAGGCTACAGCATCTGGGATACAGCACCTGGGAGACAACAATTGAGCTCATGGACAGGATAAGGGAGCAGATTTCTGTTTAAATGAGAGACTTGCTGCTCTTACCACAATCTAGTAGATTTTCTAGTTTCTCCATATGCCAAACATTTCTCTGGGGATTTTAAATGATTTTAAAAAAAAATTTTTTTTTATTGGTACCAGAGATTGAACTCGGGACCTTGTGCTTGCGAGGCAGGCAGCGGAACCACTGAGCTAAATCCCTGGCCTTTAAATGATTATTTTAAAATAATTTTCATCAATTATGGTTGTTTCACTGGGTAGAGGATGTGTGGAGCCCTCCTGCTGTAATTCTGGAAGTGGATCCCCCTGAACAGTAACTTTTTAAATGCAATCCTGTTTCACAGAAGGGACATTATGATTTGCAACAGTTTCCAAGGGAGCTGTGACAAAATTTACTTCTTTTACATGCACAGAATCTCTCAAATGCTTCAGAAATACTGTCTGTGGCAAAAACTGCTATTGTACTTCAATTTTCATTCTTTCTTCCTTTAGTAATGAAACTCTCAAGGTTCAGCTGTACACATGGCTGGCAAATCAAAGACTTCACTGCAAGTCTTCTTTAAAAGTACATGGAATAAGAGACAAAATCTGACCTGATGCAATGTGAGCAGAACCTTGGGTGGAATATGATACAGAAGCCAGAGAAACCATATTTGATTAAAAGTTGGAAGCAAAGTGATGGAGATGGCAGAGCAACATGAGAGAAAGAATCTGATTCCCTAATGCCATGGAGCTACTATTTTAGTCCTAGCATGCTTACCTACTCTTTCATAAGAGATAAATACAATTTCAATCTTAAACCACTACAGTTTTCTCTCTGATATAGCTGGCTAAGCTGTAATCTAATTCTATACTTTGTAACTAAGAAAATGTCACTATGTTGATTAACTCAATGTGAATAATATTACAGATGTCTAAGTAATTATGAATACTGTCAGTATTTCAAGTGACAAATACTGAGTTGTTGAGTTACAGTTTTCACTATGGACACTGAATCCTGATTTGCATTATTATTATTTACAAATCCAGATTTGCCTTTTTTTGGTACCGGAGATCGAACTCAGGTCCTTGTGCTTGCGCAGCAGGTGGCGAAACCACTGAGCTAAATCCCTGGCCCCAAGATTTGCCATTATTACTGGATATTATTGTCTGTGATAGTTACTGATTGGGTCAACTTGAATAAGAAACACCCAATTAAATTGGATAGTTGCAGGTATGGCTGAAGGGATTTATTGAAGACAGAAGCCCCATCCTGGGTGTGAGTGGCACAAACCAATAGGCTTGTAGCCTGAAAGGAATAGAAGGGAAAGAAAGGAAGGCTCGCTTCTGTTTCTTCAGAGGAGCTCCAGTCTTCACCGGAGTCATCATCTCCTGGCTTCCAGCACAGGCTCTTCAGCCTTCCATCATGGACCCTTTGGCTTCCTGCTATGGACTCACACGGGACACTACAGCAAGCTCCAGGCCTTTGTCGGGACCCTTCAGATCTCCAGCGTGCAGACAGACCTTTTGCACTCTTCCACATCTGACTCTGTGTGTGGCCACTATAAGTCAATCTTGTAAATTTTTATATATTTGTATATCTTGCTTTAAGTCCGTTTCTTTAGTAAGCATTAACTGATAGTGTCTATATTAACAAACCAGATCTATAATCTTTAAGCATTTTCATATTTTTATGGTTTCTTGAAAAATATGAAACAATAATGATTTCATTTAAATTTTTACACTATCCACAATTCCTGTTCTTTACATACGTGTCAGTAGTGTCCACTCTTCTACACTGTGGCACACACAGAAGATAATATTTGTAATGTACACTGGATTAAACTTCAAAATCATGGCTAGAGGCTTCACCAGATCAGGCTCAGCTGCTCTGATGGGTAAAGGGAACAATTATTCCTTGAGGATCATCAGTTGGGAAAATTTTACATATTTTATAGGATTCTATATAATTAAGGTTATCTTGGGAACCAGAATGTGCTAACTTTATAGTCTTTTTTTTGGTGCTCCTTTAACAAGTAAAATATATAACTTTGAAAGCTAACCAGTGATTTTCTCTACAATAACAGAAGTCATTCATATATGCTACAGGACTAGAACTTCTGGTATATATATTTTATTATGGAAAGTATTAATACTCTAATTTGAAATATGTGATTATGTCCCTTCTACAATCACTCTATTTTTATAATCATCACATAAAAAGTACTTATATATCAACTATATTTTCAACTAATATTGGTTCCTTTAAAAGAAAAAAGTGACGGCCAGGAATTTAGCTCAGTGGCACCATGCCTGCATGCAACCCCAAGGTCCTGAGTTCAATCCCCGGTACCAAAAAAACCAAAACAAAACATTAGGGCTGGGGATTTAGTTCAGTGGTTCTGGTGCCTGCCTCATAAGCCCAAGGTCCTGAGTTCGATCCCCAGTACCAAAAAATAAAAAAAGAAATAAAAAAAGAAAAGAAGAAAGTGACACTATACAAAATGAACTGTTAAATTGAAAAACATTCAATCACCATTTGTTTCTTTAAAATGCATCTTATATAAGGGATGGGGATGTAGCTCAATAGTATAGTGCAAATGTGTGTGTGTGTGTGTATGTATCAGTGAATAAAATAATTAGAATTTAACATTCTCATCAAAATTAATGAAGGTTGGGCCAGGGATTTAGTTTTGTGGTTCCGGTGCGTGCCGTGCAAGGTCCTGAGTTCAATCTCCAGTACCAAAAAAAAAAAATTTAATTAAGGTCATACCAGTATGATTGTAGACAACATCTGTAATACAAAGAACATTCCATTCTTTCTTCAGTTTTTCCATTAGTTGTCCAACATCATGCCAGTTATACTTTCTATTAGGTCTTGAAAAGTCAGGATTTAATTCTAACTGATCAGCAAGGGAGTAGCATGACCTAGATAGTCCAAGCTTCTGCAGTGGGGTGAAGTGAATCATGTTGTACCCTGTAAAGCAAGAAAACAAGGACTACTGTAAGAAAAAAAGTGACTAACCTAAAACTAAGCAAAATATAAATGTAAACTTTCTTAAGTAATTATAAATAAGAAGGCAACCATGCTACTAGAAAAGGCGTCTAAGACATAGGTTTGATTTCCACTTGTATACACTGCTTAAATCATTTAGTGAGATCAGTGGTCTCATTTACAAGATACGGATAAGGAGATAATATATATAAAAAAATTACACATAATGCTTAATTATTATTAGCTGTTTAGTTTTTATTTGTTGGATATAAGATAACATTTCCCATGCAAGTATATCAATATACACTTTTTTCTACTTCCAATATTCTACAATACTTGTATTCACAGAACTTAGTTATGTCAGTGAACTTTTCATTTCTTTCTTCACACTATATTCAACTTGAAGGTAGAAAATGAACATTATTATAATAGTTTACCATTAATTTTCATATTTGAAAACAAATCCTTTCAAATGATAATATGTCATTTTAGCAGAGTTCCATCAATTATTAAATTAAACCATATAACTTGCCATTTTTTTGGTACCAGGGATCAAACTCAGGACCTTGCACTTGTGAGGCAGGCAGCAGAACCACTGAGCTAAATCCCCGGCCTTAACTTGCCATTTTTATAGATTAAATGTGGTCAAGTATAAAAAATTTCATACAGTTTATCTATATTACTAAATATATTAAGAAACAAAATTAAAAGAAAAACACAACTTTTGAAAACTGTATTAGAGGATAATTACATTGATTTCTTTTTCAAAAAAAGGAAAAAATAAAGGAAGCTGACATTACCTGATTCTTTTGCAACCCTAAGTCTACTTTCCCATTCATCAAAAGGTCCTAAACACTTAGCTAAAAATGTCTGGAGAGTAACACAGTCCAAGGGTAACACGTGATTATCAGCACCAACTCGTAAAATAGGATCCACGACTATGTAACCTCCACCACTCTTCTCATTTCTAAGAGAAAAAAACAAAACAAAAACTTTCCAATTAGTGACAGGGAAAAACATCCTTTTCTAATAGTGTGACTCTAGGAGGTTAATTGTCTCATTTTAAAATGTATTTGTTTCTAAGCACAAAAAATCATTTACAAAGGTGCAACAAAAAATAATGGAAGCTGCTTTTACTCAACTACTACAAGATTACATGACACAACAGGTTTAATGAAAAATAAATGTGCCAAATCCCATCAGTAATAGCAAGGGGTCTCAACTAAATAGCATCCTATAATCATGTTGCAGGAAAAGACTACCTTAAAAATTTATATTTGACTCTAAAATGGACCATATAGTAACTTCCTAGAAATTGAAGAATCATATTCTTTTTGCATTTCAAGAAAGCACTGAAAAAAAACTGCACTGCCACTGTTTATACGGTAACTTCAGGTCATAAAATAAATTAACTTTTTTTTCCTGAACACATAACACCTAACTTACCCTTGAAGGAAGTAATACTGAAATGATCCAGACTGCTGCAGATTAAGTTTACAGTATTTATCAGAATCATCTTCTCTTTTCGTTGGGTTTTCCCAATCCAGGGAACGGAATTTTTCTCGATTAAATATTTCTCCAGGAAATGGGTAATTTGTATATACAGTAACTGCTTTTCCTTGTAAAGTTGGGCCTAATCGGAACTGTAGTTCAAACCCTAAACAAAAAAGCATATTTTAATAAAATCAGTGTAGGACTTACAAAACGTTTTAAAAAGAATAGATGTCTTTTTTTTTGGTTTATCAGTTTTTAAATGGTGAGTCACAGAGCTCAGCAGCGATCCAGTGTCACACTCACTTTTGTCTTAGATGTCTTATTTAGTCTTTCAAAAACCATGTTTTTTTTCAGTCATGTTTAAAATAACTCCATATAATTAATGCTGTTTTGGAACTACATACTTTTATTTAGCCAAATTTTATATTTTACCAAGTATAGTAGACATGATAGAACAGTCTGCTTCATAATGGGCCCTTTTACTTTCTTAGGAAACTGATTCCTATTCATATAGCTACTTTAAGATGTGCACAGTCTGAATGTGACCTTATGTACCTTTAACCCCCCCCAACCGCCCCCCCCCAACCCCTCTAAGCTCCCTACCCTCAACTCAGACCTTTTCCAATATTTCCGAACTACAATGGAGAAAGTGAGTGACTCTATGGTGTCAGAAGATGGGACTGTAGGGCCGGGGATTTAGTTCAGTGGTTTCGCCACCTGCTGCACAAGCGCAAGGACCCGAGTTCGATCTCCGGTACCAAAAAAAAAAAGATCAGTAGAAGATGGGACTGTATATAAAACTTGGGAGGTATCATGGGACAACTGTTCTACTACATAGAGAAAGCCATCTTCACTGACAGAAGTTAACCTCAAAAGACAGAATTCACACTTCCAACAGGAGTTCTGGAGGTATCTGTGTGACTGACTGATGTCTGATGAAATACAGTTGTGCGCTAGTAAAGACTGAACAACTGACTGGGGTGGTGTGAAACACAGACTCGTGGTGCTTGCCGACTTTCTGGTGGGAACAGCCCCACTACAATCTAAAGATACCAACACATCACTGAACATGGAACTGGGAAGGAATGTGCACAATCACTCCTTGTGAGCCAGCACATAGACCCCTCTCATGCACTACTGCTCACATCCCTCCTCTTCATGGTTTATTACTAACATCTTTGTTGGAATCCTGAGAACCAAGATATTCCAAATTTTGTTAGTTTGTTTCTATTAAAAATATATGAGAGACTTGGTACTATGTTACACAAGTATTTTACCATAAGTGGGGAATAATGAACACATTATAGTTAAAATCTTTCTGTAGAAAAAAAGTTTTGGTTGGCTTAAGGTAGACTTCAAATCATCTTCAAAAATATTAGAATGTGCTGCTGCCATGTTGGTTCTGCATTCTCTGCATAAAATGCCCTGTGAAGCCACAGAAACCATCCCTGCTGCAGAGCAGTTTCCACAGCCCCAGGCTGACACAGGGTCTGGAACAGAATCGGACAGTGATGAATCAGTACCAGAGCTAGAGGAGCAAGATTCCACATAAGCAATCACACAACAAGCCCAGCTTGCAGCAGCAGCTGAAATCGATGAAGAAACAGTCCGTAAAGAAAATAAAGCTGGAATGAAAAGAAGGCACTGAAGGCTATGTCCAAACTGGGTCTTCGGGAGGTTACAGGGGTTACTAGAGTCACTACCTGGAAATCTAAGAATATCCTCTTTGTCATCACAAAACCAGATGTCTATAAGAGTCCAGTTTCAGATACCTACATAGTTTTCGGGGAAATCAAGATTGAGGATTTATCTCAGCAAGCACAGTTAGCAGCTGCTGAGAAATTCAAAGTTCAAACATTCAAGAAAATACAGACTCCAACCGTACAAGAGGAGAGTGAAGAGGAAGAGGTTGATGAAACAGGTGTGGAAGTTAAGGACATAGTATTGGTTATGCCACAAGCAAAGGTGTGGAGGGCAAAAGCTGTCCGAGCCCTGAAGAACGACAGTAATGCATTGTAAGTGCTGTTATAGAACCACATCTGAAAGGAGGACTTTTTTTGGTGTTTCAAAAAGGTCACTGCAGCGTGGTTTGAAATTTGTACTATTTCTATCACTAATAAAGTTACGACTTATTGAATGAAAAAAATATTAGAATGTGAAAGGTCTGACTATAGTCAAATCTACTTGTCATAAATTAAAGGCTTGTGGTAATCTTGTATTGAGCAAGTGTGTCGGTACCTTTTTCCAATAGCACATGCTTGCTTCATGTTTTTATGTCACATTTTGGTAATTATAATTCAACAAAATTTTTATTATTATTATATCTGATTAACTGATTAGTGATCTTTGATCTAAGTACTGTAACTGTTTTGGGAGCAACTTGAACTGGAACCAAATAAGGAGGAAAAATTAAATGGTTAATGTTTTACATGCTCTAACTGAACCACTGATGGCCAATCTCCTATCCATCTCCCTCTCCTGAGGCCTCCCTGTTCCTTGAGATATGATTACTGAAAGTAGGCCAGTTAATAACCCTAATCTAAGTGTTCAAATGAAAGGAAGTAACATATCTCTCTAGCTTAAAATCAAAGCTATCTTCTAGCTTTAAATCAAAAGATAGAAATGATTCAGCCTAGTGGAAAAGCACATTGAAAGCTGAGACAGGATGAGAGCTAGGCCTCTTGCACCAAAAAGCTAACCAAGCTGTAAAGGCAAGAAAAAGTTCTTGAAGTAAAATCAGTCGTGTGACTCCCATGAACACATGAGTAAGAAAGCAAAACAACCTTATTGCTGATATAGTGAAAATTTTAGTGGTCTAGATAGAAGATCAAACCAGCCACAGTATTTCCTTAAGACAAAACCTAATCCAGAGCAAGACCCTCTCTTCAAGGCTGAGAGAAGGAAGCTGCAGAAGCAAAGGCCGAAAACAACACTGGCTCACAACATTTAAGGGAAGAAGCTGTCTCTCTCTTGTAAAAGTCCAAATTGAAATAGCAAGTAACAATGTAAAAGCTGTAGTAAGATCACTGATGAAGATGACACCTAGGAATTTCACAGCTAGAGAGAAGTCAATGCTTGGTGTCAGAGTAACAGAAGACAGACTGACTCTTGTTAGGATACCTTTAAATTGAAGTCAATGCTCATCATTCTTAGAACATTCGCGGTTCATGGCTGGAGCTCAAAATATCATCATTAAGAAAAGTGTGGAAGGGCCTGGGATTTAGCTCAGTAGTTCCGGTGCCTGCCTTGAAAGCACAAGGTCCTGAGTTCAATCCCCGGTACGATAAAAAAAAAAAAAAAAAGCGTGGAATCGTCATGGATAACTTTGAGGAGTTCAAGACCAGTTGAGAAAGTAAAGCAGATATGATGAAAACAGCAAGAGAACTAGAATCAGAAGTGGACCCTAAAGACGTGACTGAGCTGCTTCAAGTTTATGATAAAATTAACAAATGAGTGATTTCTTATGGATGAACAAAGCATATTGAGATGGAATTTACGTACTCTTAGATTGCATCTAAGATGTTGTAAACATTGTTGAAATGGCAGGAGGATTTGGAATATTACATAAACTTAGTTGATAAACAGGGTTTGAGAGAACTGACTCCAATTTTGAAAGAAGTTCCACCTACAGGTGAAACAGTATCACGTTACAAAAAATTGTATGACTCACTTTATTGTGGTGGACTGGAACCAAATCTGCAGTATCTCTGAAGTATGCCTCTAACAGAATGACTAAAACTGTCAGCTTAAAATTCTATATCTAGTGAAAATATCTTTCAAAACAAAAGTTATGAAAGCCAGCTTTCTCACTATTAGATACTGATGTCATAAATAAAGCGGGAAAGCTACTATGAATCCTGTTATGCTGGATATGACTCTGAGTTAACAGTATAAACTGCCTTTTATTTATACATTAAAAAAATGACCTTGGCATGGTGGTACTCTGGGAGGCTGAGGCAAGAGGACTGCATTGAGCCCAGCCTGAGCAACTTAGTGAAACTCTTTCTTAAAAAAAAAAATTAAAAAGGGCTAGAGACATAGCTTAGTACCAAGGTCCTTGGTTCAATCCCCAGTACTGCAAAACAAACAACAGTTTGGTTCAAAGCAAATACTAAATGTAGGAACATGTAGATACGCTGCATTTCCACTGAGGTCTAAAATTGTTCTTTGGTAGAGGTAAATCCCTCACACTGATGTTTGATAGGTAGCAACCACAATTTTAAATACTGGGTTAAATATTCTTTGTGAACAAAAGATTTCAGTAAGACATTAGGAGAATAATGGACTCTTCCAACTTACGCTAATTAAACACCTGTAACTGCCAAGCTAAATACAGTTTGTTTTCACTCTGCAATATGGATGATATTAGTGAATGGAAGTTCTAAACATTTCTGGAAAAGTTATTATCTAGTGATAAGTACTATTAATATCTCCCTCAATTGGAACAAAATACAGATATAAATTTATTCACGGTAAATCCTTTAGCAAGCAAAAATCAAATTAGGAATTACTAAGTAGCTATAAAAATACAAAGACTCACTTTTCACATTGCACAATGAAACTAAGAATTTCCTTTTGCTTTTATGCATTATATAGAACTTTTAAAATCTGGTCTAGAGCACAGGATGGCTGAAATGTGGCAGTAAGGAAAGTAGTATACACTCACCTTTGTATTACAAGTAGGGGGAAAGCAGGTTACGAAATTGTAGTATAGTTCCATTTTTTTTTTTAAGACAAAAAGCATAAGTCTTTTTATACATATGTACAATTTTATAATGGAGAAAATCATTTTAAAATTAGAGCTACAATTGTAAAGGGACAGATTGAGAAATTAGACAAAAAAAATTAAAATATGAAATGAAATACTGTACTTAGTAACTATGAGAATCATAAACATCTAAGGAATGATTAAATTTATCATCAAGAAAACGATGACACTGTGAGCCGATTGGGCATATTTAAATAACCTGTCCTCTGTTAATTTTGCACAAATATTGCTTTTATGTTTAAACAAGAGCTCAGAGAATTTGGAGTACAAAGGTTAAAACTCATCCAACTCTAAAACAGTATTTGGATCAGTGTGGTATCCTTAAGAAAAAAGAAAACAAGCATTCACTCAAATAATACTCAAATAAATCTGAGTATTTATTTATATAGCATATG